TGTTAATTCGCTCTTGCCGAAGAAAGTACCGAAAATGGTTGTGAAAAGGGAACGTTTTCAGCAATTTTTCTGATTCAATTTTTCGTTGACAAAACGTACTGGGGAACTATGCTTAAAAGCGAAATGAGCTGCTGAAGGTAGTTATAATAAAAATCAAAATTTGTGATTTTCTGACACCATGTTGAAGTTTGATCAAACCGTTGCGTTATGTATGGAAAGTTTAAAGAATTTGCCCGCACCACGAGTCTTAAGTTTTATAAAAGTGTGCCTAAAATCGGATTTCACAGCCTTTTTCTACATCATTTGTAGGTTCAAAATCCATCGAGATCAAAATCGCAGCTGATCCTTTTTTCGAGATATTCACATTTTTATATTTTACTTCTTAAACGGAATAAATCTTGTTTTTAACTAAGATTTATCATTTTATCGATGCAGGAATAGTATAAAAAATTTATGTAAAGGTCATTATATATATATTTGAATAAAACGCAACCATAGGGCTTATAATATTAAGAACTGTTTTGAAGTTAATGCCTGCAAAATTCGTGCTTTATTTTTGTTTCATTTTCGACTCCCAGAGGGCGTGTGGAAAATCAACGACAAAATAATAATCATACTAAACCTATTAATTAGAGAAAGAAAAACCTTCTCAATATCTTGATGTTTTTTTTTTTTTTGAGAGTAGTTGGCATTTTACTGTCGTTTTGCTGTCGTTTGCAGATAATTTTCAAAATGAGCCATCCAGCTAATAAATGTTCTCTGGGGTTAATAGGCCGGCTAGTTTTTTGATAAATTCCCGCATTGAAATTCTAATTAAAAGATTTCTACTAGAAGATTTTGATGTGAGTAATGAAACTTTTCCTAAAAGTATATGTAAAACGTGTCGCATTACTCTACTCGATGCTGAAAAGAGTATTTTTAAAAGGCCTCTTCAGAAAATGCCAAATTATAAAGATTTAGTACTACCGAAAAACACTCGGGTAGCAAAAGACACTTGTATTTGTTACATATGTCTACGTGGCTGATTTAAGGGTCACCAAAATCTAATAACAGGAAGAGGCAGGAAAAGAAGTTTCGGCAACGCAATAAATGCATCCAATGGACTATATGGATCTTCAAAAACTCAGCAGCTTCCAGTTTCTTCAGTAGAAAAGAATAAATCAAAAGAGTCCATTATTAAGCTTTGTAGTAGGTGCTTTCAGGCGATTGGTAAAGGAAAAAGTCACATTTGTAAGAATGTTAAGGAAAGCTTCCTGATAAAAAGCAAGAGAAAACTGTGGCTACTATGCTTAAAAATAAAGCTAAGTCCGAAATTCATAATGTTGCGCAACTAAAGAACATCATTTTAAATCCTAGTGAAAACAAGAGAGTTCTTTTCACCGAAGAAAATTTAGATAGTTTGCGAGTTGGTGTTGGAGTTTCGTGTAATGACATGAGAAAAATTAAAAATTTTCTAAGATGTAATGTTGTAAGAAAGTCTGTTCCGGAAATTACGTCGGTCATATATCAGAGAAGTCAAAAACCTTGAACGATATGTATAAGAAAGTTTACGTTTCTTGCACACACTTCCACCCTCAGAATAAAGTGATTTTTTGCGACCATATTCATTCAAATCCTTTGCATTTAAGTTGATATTGTCATCATCATCATTATCACTGTGTATTCTGTATCGTGTGATGATGGGATTGATGAATAATTTTCAGGAAGTATAGTCAAGCTTATTTTAAAAAAGCCTTGGCCTCCATCAGCCATGAATTTGACAATGATGTTTCCTTGCACATTTCCTTTCTCTATGATTGCATCAAAAATGCTGAAGATTCGCATACACGACTGGTCGTTTGTTTTTGACAGGCTCATTTTCACACTCAAATTCATATATACAATGATCTGAATTCTGAATGATCCAGAAATTTACAACAATGTGGATGTTTTTAAAATTATACCTTTCATTGCTGCTTTTAACGCAATGGATAAGATTGTTAATTGTTGTTTCATTTCTGGCAAAGTTGGCCTTTCACTAGACAAGTACATAAATGAATTGGATATAGCTTTACAAAGCATTGATAACGTGTCCAAAACATTAAAAATACATGTTATTCTTGCACATGTTAGAGAAGGTTTGAAGTACATAGATAATAATAACGGCTATGGATCTTTGAACTTTATGAACTTTTCAAAGCAGCAGTTGAATTCTCTTCGCTCCATATTTAATACTCTAGGTTTTTTTAATTTAAACTTTATAATTTGAGTTCCAGTCACTCGGCACGTAATATTAATTCATATTTCAATTTTATTTTATTTAAACTTTATAATTTGAATTCCAGACACTCCATATATAAAATATTTATTGAATATTTTGATTTTAGTCCATGTAAACCATAGAGGCATAAAAGGAAGAAAAAAAAACAAGAAAAAAAATAAAAAACGTAATAAAAAAATGAAAAATAAAATTAAAAAATTGGACCATATAACCACTACGTTCCCGTCGTTGGTCCTGAGTAACGCTGAACGTGGTTTATATAACTCCCTTTTATACATCAAGCTTTTTTAACGTAACCTATGTATGGTTGCGTCTAATTCAAATATGAAATATATACATACATATGTATATGTAATATATGTATGTATATATGTATATATACAAATATGTATATAATATGCTGTACATAAAATTATTTATACGATTCCTGCATTGATAAAATGATAAATTTTAGTTAAAAACAAGGTTTATTCCGTTTAAAAAGTAAAATATAAAAATGTTAATATCTCGAAAAACGGATCAGCTGCGATTTTGATCTCGATAGATTTTGAACCTACAAATGATGTAGAAAAAGGCTGTGAAAGTCGATTTTAGGCACACTTTTATAAAACTTAAGACTGGTTTAAGACCACCGTAAGCCACTAACGGCACCCCACTTTGGGAAAGCCTGGAATAGATAGAAAGATTGCGTTGACATCTTTACTTCCTTACTAATATTATAAATCCGAAAGTGAGTTTGTTTGTTATTGTTACACTTTCACGCTTTAACTATTTACTCAACCGATTCCTATTTAATTTTTTACACTGGTGCCATTTAGCCCAACTTAAAATATAGGCTAGGTTTAATCTCGATTATACGAGGGGGCATGGCACCTCCCATAAAACGGAATTTTCATACCGCGTATCATATGTATATCAGAAAATGTTTTTGATAGAGTACAGGAACTTGGTGTAGATTCATATATGTATGCATATAAAATCAATTCCATACTCATAGAGGAGGGCTGACACCTGTTTTAAAAAATTAAATTCGACTTGAATTAAGGGAATTATTTATTTGAAAATTATATTAAAGAATGGATGAAAAGAGGCTTCAAAAGTTGTAGTTTGAAAGTATTTTGGAAAAGGTTAATATATGGGCGTCAAATGAAAGATTGCTATGAAACCTTCAGATTGAACATTTTAATAGAGTTTTAGTAGGAAAATATTTCGAAGAGGGTTGCCACCTGTTTTAAAAGTCGAGTTTAAATTAGAAAGGGTTAGCTTGGACATGTAGAGTTTTCTGAGGTTTTTGAAGATGGTTGCCACCTGTGTTAAATATATATTATATTATAAGTATTATGAGTTATTACAATCAAGGTTTTAATCCGAAGGCTCTTGAACAGGCTTTATTTCTAAGCAACGTATGTATAGCAGGGACTCCACATATTTGAAAATTCAAATTCAACTTCAATCATAGGAATTAACGGTTTAAAAAGTAAAATTCAAAATTTTCAATCATTTCAATGAATTATTACAATATGGGTATCAATCGAAAAGATTTTGAAATGGCTTCATTTCTAAACTACATGTAAATAAGTATGAAAAATAATCACAAGAGAGAGGTTTAAGATAGTTGTAGTTTGAAAATATTTTGAAGAAATTTAAAAAATTTAAAGTCTTCTGATTTTCGCATATTTTAAGTATGTAGAGTTTAATGAAAATAAATTACACCTAATGTAGCATGTAGAAGTCTCACACACTCAGCGAAGCGGGTGAGAGCGATCTAGATTTATATATTTTTTTGTGAAAGATGTTCCGCATTTTTTTCATAAAATAATCAGGTTTGTAAAGAAAACTTTTTGAAGCTTTGATGAATCATGGAATTTTTTTTTTTTTGTATAATGTTTCAAACTTAGATTGATTTAACACAAAAATTTAGCTTGGAAAACATTGTGAATATTAAAAAAATTATAATTCGATTAATTTTTATCACCAGAGTACATACAGTCAGTCAATAAAGTTTAGGTACAGCGAAGTTTTAACAAAACCGGCAACTATTTTTTAAATATTTTGTTTTTCTCAAATTTTTTATAAAAACCATAGTTAATTCTAAAACAAAAACCTCAAAAATCAGAGTTCCAAACCTTATGCAAAAGTATAGAAAATTCCGAAAATTTTCATCCAGTTATTGCACTTCTTTTTTCAAAAAGGTTGAGTACGCAGTTTCTTAGCCCATTCCATATTAGTGCAAGTTTCAGGTAACTAGGACTTACCATTGATTTTTAGCAACTTTTTTTGTTGAAGGTATCGCTCATTTTCCCATATAAATTAATGTTTGATAATTTTTTTATATGGAAAAAATGTGCAACACCTTTAACAAAAAAATTTCCCAAAAATCAATGATAAGTCCTAGCTTCCTCATACTAAAATTGAATGGGATAAAAAAATGCATACTCAACATTTTTTCTAGAGAGCGTAAATAAAAAATGCAATATTTGATTGAAATTTTGCAGAATTTTCTTTAATTTTGCACAAGGTTTGGAACTCTGATTTTTGGGCTTTTCTTGTAGGATTATCCATATTTTTATACAAAATTAGCTAATAATAAAAAATTTAAAAAATAGTTGCTCATATTGTAATAACTTCGCTGTACCCAAACTTTATTGACTGACTGTAAGTTACCGTAGCCAAATTAAAAATATCCTTTGGCCAAATTATCCTAAAAGTCTAACTTCTTCAAAATGCTTCTATTATTAAGGAGGGACAAGGAGATGCTAATGATATTTGGCGAGTTCATTTGGTTGATCAAAAACTAAATGCGAGTATTAAAACCGTTACAACACAGTTTTTGTTAATACATTACCTACAAAACTGCGCACTGACTGCGAGCGGAAGGCAACTACCCAAATGGGGATTTGAGCAGCAGGAAGTTTCCTGCAACCTCAACATAAGGGATCAGAATGCTTATTGGAATGTCGAAGATAACCTTAACAAAAAATGTAAGTAGTTCAAAAGATCATACTTATTTATATACAAATAATTAAACCTTCATATCTGTATAATCCCCACTAAAACTTAATACATTCAGAGAAAAATTTAAAGTTTGTGTTTACATATAATTTCAGTACCGAGTATCAATTTAAATATGTATGCACCGGGGTTTATTTCTCGTTTAATGGAATCTCACGCAGTCATGTTTCAAGGAAACGCTGGACTTAAACCGAAGGAAGGCGAACTAACTAGCAAGCCTTGGCAATGGCCAATTAATTACCGGGTAAGGTCATACTCACTGATAGAAATTGCCTACGACCTATTAGTTGTTTATATCAATTTGAATGACGTCCAATATAACACATTACGCAAACGTCAAAGCTGTGAAGTTGTGCGTTCTTGTGCTCTGATTTAATTTGTTATTTTTAAAACGTTTTTGCATTAAATAAAGTAAAAATCACACAAGTAATTTTTAAGCAAAAAAAAACCCCGACTTCAATTCTCAGATAAAAATTGAAGAGCACAGTTAATTTCTACATGATCTAGTGATCGGATCTAAACCAAATTAGTATGGGACCACCTCTGAGGTATCACCTCTCCGCTGAAAATTTATAGAGATCGGTTAACGTGGTCCAAAGTTACGTGGTAACATACATGAAAAATAAAAATATTCCGACGAATTGATGACCTCCTCATTTTTTTGAAGTCGGGTAAAAAACAAAAACGGCTTCAATTCTCATACATAAGTTTAAAAGTACCATTAATTTCTTCATGATCCAATTATTGGATCTAAAGCAAATTATTATGGGAGCACCTCAGTAGTACCATACCTCAGTAAAAATAATTATAGAAATCGGTTAAAGTAGTCCAAAGTTATGCGATAACATATATAAAATAATTAATCCGACGGTTTGATAACATCCTCCTTTTTTTGAAGTCAGTTAAAAAAGTGTCAAGAAATTTTGGTGCATAATTAAAGATAAGTAAAATATCAAAATTTCTTACGTATTCGATCAATTGAACTTAATATTCTTTATTGTATATGCAAAGTCTTTTGTTTCATATATATATGTATGTAATATATTGCGATTGTCAATTGATTTCGCTGCAATTCACACTGATACATATGGTTGCTGGGTTTTGTTAATAATTCTATTTTTAGAATATTTAACTTTTTAGGTGTGCTCATCCTTAAGTAATTTTATTTTTTTATTTATGGCCTTATAACAATCATATTCAACCATTTTTTGAGCTTGAGTCCGTTTTTAATGAAAAACTATTGTGGAAAAGTAACAATAATTTATAAAAATGGTAGAAGTGATAGCTATTTAGGAGATGACCAAATATCATCAGACTTCTCCAGTGGGATTCGATCCAACGACCCTAGCTCACTCAGCCAGTTGCCTACGCACTTATAAATTGTTGTTGCTTTTTCCACTTTTTTCATATGAGCCAACTACAGTCAAACGCAGGTGTTCCGCTGCAATTCACACTTGATTACGTGGTTGTTGGTTTTATTGATTTCTGTTAATAGTTCAATTTTTAGAATATTTATCTTTTTTGTTTTTTGTTATTTATGGCCTTATAACAATTACTTGTGAACCTGCATGGCGTTAAGACGCCCAAAATTAAATCTTAAAATCCTAAAGAATATTTCAAATGTTGGTCAGAGCGATCCAAGTACCATATTTAATCTAAATCCATGCAGCCGTTTCTGAGTGCAGAGAGGCCTCGCATAGTGCAGGTGCTTAATTTCATTAAATTTCAAATCACCCTATATCGAAAAAATTAAAAAAATAAAACTTTATCGCACATTTTTAATATCACTTTTAATTTTTAAATTTGAAAGAACGGTTTAAATCTTATGACTATCACACAAAAATTACTTCTCGTATAATTACGGAGACCATATTAACTAACGTAAAATAAAGGACATTTTTTTCAAAATGATTTGGGAATACGTACATACAACATGTATGATAAAGTACTTTACCCATATCGTAATTTAAATCAAATATTTACCAGTTAATTATATTATTTAATTGTACAAGTTCCCCTGCTGTAGCGAAAAATGAAGCCAAATCCTTTTTAAGGACTTCGTCACCCTTTGCTACCAAAATGCGTTTACCATAATTCATACTGCACGACGAAGCCAGCACAGAGTGGTTCAAAATTAGAATTTAATGTTCATAATTCACCCGGTCCTTCATTTTAAACCAATTTTTACTAAAAACCAAAAAAATAGTTATTCTTGTGAACATTTTTTATAACATTTCAAAGTTTTTTTTGTGTAATTTTTTTCGTTTTGGGAGAACCATACAACTGTTTTCAACTAGTTTTTGTTATGTGACATTTATTAACTGGAACAGGAGAATACATTTTCTTCAAAATTGCTACTTTTTTGCATTTTGCACTAAAAAATTTAATATAATCAAATAAAAATTCACACATCAGGCTCTACTGGTCCCTAGCAAATAATGTAAAAAAAATAAAAATTAATCAAATTAAGGGAAAAATGAAGTCTCCAGTGAATTACGAACACTAGATGCCAGTTTTGAACCACTGTGCAGCAGGGGGTTTATTGTTTTCTTTCAATGGAACTGGAAACTCAGCGCGCAACACGATCCTCCTTTATAGATTGTACAAAGATTACTGATTATATATAAACCCTTAGATGGGAGCGAAACAAACTGGCGAAGGTTTTCATTATATTTTGTAAGGGACATTTTTATTTTTCATATTCTGTGTTTAAAAATTTACCTATGTATGTAGAGCTGATTTAGAGGACAGTTCAAGAAATAGAGGACAAAAGGCGTCCTTTATTTTGAAAAAAATTATAAAGGACAGGGGGTTAAAATAAAGGACTGTCCTTTAAAATAAAGGACGGATGGTCACCGTACGTATAATATAACTAAATGTGTATGTACTTCGTTAGATCGGTATGATTTTGCGAAAAAATGGCCAGCCTTGAGGTTAAGTTGAGAACTCAGGTATTTCTCAAATCTCCAACGTTGTTTTTCAACAGTATCTCAAGTGGAGGATCATAGCGTTCCCAACAAAAAGGGAATTTTCTTTGTATGAAAAAAAGGACTGTTTCTCAAGTTGAGAAAAAGCTAGTTCTCAACGTGAACTACAATGTGATTCTCCAATTGGTCTCAAACATATCACTGAAATACTGAAATCAAAATAGTAAAATAACACTGTGATATTTTTTTTCAAACATTTTCAAAGACATACCCAAAGAAGACTGTTTCACCCTACCTTGAATATGAGGAATCGAACTGCACCATTAGTTTTTTAAGTTTCCTTCACGCCTTCATACAACTTTTTATTTTGAAAGTTTTGCATCCACTGGAAATTTTTCAAGTGTTATACCCATTAGCGCACACAAGGGGTGGGTTTTGGGGTTCAAACCCCCCCTAAAGCTAAAACCGCAAATACCTTAAAGCTTAGAATCCCGCTCTCAAGAAAAATCACAAGAAATATTTTTTATTATTCTGTTGCTTGAACAAGCACTTTGCTTTTGCTGTAAATTTTCTAGAAGAAATAAATAAACGAGAATTTTTTTCTTGACAGCTGCAAACTGATTTAAGAAATTTTGATAGAATGAAAACATTGTCCTAAAAATATGCAATGCATACTCTATTAATGTTGTGTTTTACACTTTACAGCCTAAAAGAGTTTACCACTGATATGAACTTAACAAGGATTCGAAGATTTAATTTGCCAACTTCGAATTCGTTCCACCAAAATGAGCTACATACATACATAATAAAAATACAAGTTCAGTTAATTTTTTCCGTATTCGAAATAATGAAAAATGAGTATTTAAGTTTATGCAAATAAAGTGCAATCTATGAAACTTTAAAAAGTAAATTTTAATTATTACATACTGTACATAAAGTTTGCATAAAGCGAATTTTCAGTATTTTCTGGTGATATATCTTTAGAGGTAAAAACCCCTCCCAAAATATATCCCTGGGTGCGCCCCTGGTTATACCCTATTTTGTGGTTTATAACTTTTATATGGTTGGTTTTTTCGGCAAAGTTTCTGTGGAAAAGTTACTCAGAATGTCTTAGGCCTTAACTTTCATGAACTTACCAAACCGTTAACTTAAAAAACTAATGATGCAGTTCGATTCCCCATACCTGAGATATGGTGAAACCGTCTTCTCCGGCCATGTCTTTTTTTGCGGTTATAACAGTGTAATTTATACCTTTTTGATTGAAACATATATAGATAAATTTAAATAAATATTTATTTCTTTATTGCTTTTATAACATGTAGTTAATCAATATCGTATTACAATAATTCACAATCAAGTTTTCAGTCGTCCGTCTAAAGCCCGACAGTAAGTCTACCAATCAATTCACTTCGCGCTTTATTTTATTTAAAGACATTATTTACTTGATGTTGGTAATTTTCCTCTTATATAGCTTCATTTTTTCACTTGATATTTAAAAATTCGTTTCTCTATTACTTTTTACGTATTTACACGTAGATTTTATACTTTCGAATGTATATGTTTTGTCAACGCTGCCACTTGCATGTTTTTGTATATTAAAAGTAGTGCTGCCATGTTAGAGAAAATTGTTTTTCTGAAGTTCATTTCAACTTCCAGTACAAAGTTAGAGATAAGTAGGAGAATGCTATTGGATATCAACTTGAGAACTATGAATTTCTCCAAGGTTGGAGAAATATTTTGTTGGTGTATGTTGGGTCTTTAAAAACTCATTTTACTTATTGAATAATTAAAATTTAACATTTTAAACAGATGGCAACCCTCTTGAAACCCCTCAAAAACATTTTAAATGTTCAAACCGAACATTTTATAACACTCTTTCGTTTGACTTAACTAAGTTAGACCTTTTAAACAGGTGGAAATCCTCTTCAAAACATTTTCAAACTAAAACCTTCGTAAACTCTTTCATCTGACACCCATATTGTAATACCTACTTACATATGTATGTATTTCAATTATCCTTTTGCCTTAATTTGAATTTGATTTATTAAATATATTTCAGAAATAAAGACCTTTCAAACGCATTTCGATTGATACCTATCTTTTAATATATCATCTAGCTTCCTAAATAATTTGAATTAAATTTTTTACACACGTGGCAACTCTCTTCAGGCATTTAAAATGTTCAGATTAAAGATTTCTGAACACTCATTCTTTTGACTCCAGCTTTTTTTTTTAAATGTTTGTATCAGTTAATTAAATCTCACCTTTCTCTTCAAAAATATTTTGAAGCTAACATTTTTTAAACTATCCTTCGTCT